TCTTCTTTGGCTAAGGTATATTCTCAACCACAGCTCACTGAACTTGATGCTCTATCTATTTAAATAACATCAACTGCAGTACAATTAAGATATCGAGAATATAAAGGCAAATAGTAAATGCTAGACATGTTTTTCCCATTAGGGGAGGTAGCTAGACACTGACTAATAATTCCATTACACCCCAACAGTATAAAATATCCAAAATGAAATTAGAAATTGTTTCTGTAAGATTTCACTTCTATATTATTACTGATGTTTTACTCTGACTTTAGCATATCTGCCCTTTAATTTCTAAATTTGACGTCATATGCTTTACTCTGCTAAATATTTAAAACTGTTTCTACTTAATACACTTACTCCATTTCACTAGGATCGGAAGAGTATATGTGAAATTTGATAAGACAAGAAAAAAATGAAGATGAGAATGCATTATGTACTTCTTTGAGCTATTTCAGTTTATTTACATATCAAGTATATACACTGCAAATAGTTAACGGAGTAGAGGCAGTTAAATTCTTAGTAGAGGGCTGTCCCTGGCGGCTCAACAGGTTAAACCACTGAAGTATGAGACTGTCAGTAGCCCCTACAGCAGGAGTTCGCTCCTTGCGCTAGGAGTGACCCACATGGTGCAACAGACCTCTCCTGTCTCCCTGCTGCTCCCCTCAGCAGTGTGTCTCAATACATCTGCCTGTTCCATTCCCCACTCTGTCTCGGTGAATCCTCTCACCCCCACACCTGTGGCCTGCACCCAGGTTCTTGTATGCATACATAAACACAGCTGTAAAAAAAAAAACCTTACTGGTATGTTAGACAACCGAGCTCACTGTTACCTTGGCAAAGGTTGACCCGCGTCCTTCTGACTCAATTGTAATAGTTTTCGTGCGACGCAGTAAAATCTGATCAATGTCCTCCTCACAGAATTTAGAGCCTTCATCTTCTTCTCCCATAATGGCACCATAAGCACCTCTTCGAAGCAGGTCTTCTATTTCTTTTTTGGACAGTTGTTGGATCTAAAGAGAAGATTAGTAACGATGTGCTGGTTAGGTTCATAAACTGAGGCAGTTTCCCTAAAGAATATTAAAGAACACAGAGGCCATACTTAAATTGTCTTGTGAGTAGAAAATGTACAAAGGAACGAATTTTCTTAAAGAATGCATAGAAGTTGATGACTCTACTTAAGTTATTTCATAATAAAAACTGCCATTTGCCTAAAATGTTTTCATTAAAACAATGCTTAGGGGGTAAGTTACCTCTTAAGATTCACTAGTATCTTCTTTCTATAGCTGTTATAAGCCCAAGATAAAACAATCTATAGGGGGAAAATGTCCCAAACCATCATTTATAGTAAGAAAAGCCAATGCCAGTAGTTAGCCACTAAAAAAGATCTTTTGAAAAACTGTTTACAGGAAAAAAAAAATCACAAGTTCTATTTTGCAATGCCATGCTACAAATGTCCTAAAAGGAAAGAATTTCCTGAAAACACATCGTTAGAATACACAAGTTCTGCAGCCAGAACAAGAATCAAAAGTACTGGCCCAACATAGCTTAAACCTAAAATGCCTCCTTATTTAGGTCATCTACTTCACACTCAGTTTGATCAGAATTAAATGATACCTGAGGTAAAATTAAATGCAAACAAAACCCAAACTCCAAGTGAAGAAGAAAATATACATACACCGCCAACATTACTTTCTCTTCCACTCATGCTCTGTAGCACGGCCTTATCTAGACCCAGCTTCAGACTGGCCCGGTCAAACATTTCTCTCTCGTATGAGTTACGAGTTACTAGGCGGTAGACTTTAACTGCTTTATTCTGACCGATTCTGTGACAACGAGCTTGGGCCTATAAAAAAATGAAAAGTTATAGATTCAATTTATTTCACAAAGTAGCACAAAAGCATCACATAAAAGGAATTTAATAGTAAGCTGTCATGATGGCAAACAAAAATACACAGGAACTTTCAAAGGTACTCTTGCTATTGGATTAGACATAACCTTTTCTAGAAATGAAAGTAGAGCTTAATAAAAATAGAAATGATTCCATGATGAACAATAAGTTAAAATTATATTGTAGAGAATATAAATCCGTAAGAAGGTGTCATCAAAATATAATTTTAAATAAGAACATAACTCTATGAATGGACAATTTTATTTCCTGGCAAGTCAAATCTAAAATCTTAAACTCTAATCCTAAATTGCCAAATGTTACCTGCCACATTATCAGCAACCTTTTCAATATTTTTAAGTTGAGTGGTTTGGGGGCAGGTAAAAACCAAAGGCAAATAATTACGGAGACCTAAATTTTATTTAAGCAAAGAAAAAAATATCTTCTATGTAGACATCCTAGAAATGGAGCTATCAAAGGCAACATAATAGCTTCTTATTTTATACTGAGTTCCTACCAAACTAAAAAGTTGTTAGTTCTTGATTCTAATGATTCTATGGAATCACCAGTCTTTCTCCAAATTAATCACCTTTCTACTGTCATCCGATGATTAAACCATAAATTGTGGTTATAACCTTGGAGGTGGAAATGACATTATGCCCTTTGCTGACATCTCTGCCCTACACAGATCCTCTTTGAGCTCTCTGGAACTCGGAACCGGACCTAAAGAATCATGGGCCAAGTCTGGAGAAAGCCCAAGAGGCACATTTTTTATGAGCCTGGGAAGACCAGATTGACATTAGCAGTAAACAGAAATCTATCACCCAACTCAGAGAGAGAAATTGGGGAATCTAGTATAGACTTCCTCCAGTTTCTCCTGGGCTCCCCACCCAATGTGTCTCCACATTCCCATTTTAGATTAACGTTAGACACAACAGGTGCCCTGTAACATAAATATGCATTCCAGAGGCAAGCAACTGCCTAGGCTGGGTTTCACCTAGAGACTGGCATACTACAGCCTCCAACCGAGAATGACCTCCACATTTTTAAGACTATAAAAATAAAGAATGCTTGATGGCAGAGATTTATATGGCCCACAGAGCCTGAAAAGATTTACTGATGGGCCTTCTATAAAAAGAGCTTGTCCCTGGTTTAATCTATAAAATCTGATAAGACAGTATTTTGAACTAGAGTACATATATTACACAAATGAGAGGTTTGAGTAGTATCTTCTTTGGCTAAGGTATATTCTCAACCACAGCTCACTGAACTTGGTGCTCTATCTATTTAAATAACATCAACTGCAGTACAATTAAGATATCGTGAACAATAATGGAATTTCTCTTATACTCTGTTCTCTTCTTATGTCTTTCCTAGATCTCTATCTTCTGCAAACTTTGATAATCTCTGATTGCTCTAATATTTCTATGAAGTCCAAGTATAGTATTAACTTGAAATGTATAGCTTTATTTAAAATAGTAGCTCATAAAAAGATACCCTATTTCTGTCTCAATTCTATGTGCACTAAAATGTATGATGATCGAGAAGGTGAAATGAGGACATGTAAATACCTACTTTTAAGGAAATAAAATTCTAAGACTTGATCATTACAAGTAAATTATCTTTAGACCTTAGGTCTTTCTCATATTTATACAATATGCTTTACATGAGTAAATACTATACTTAAGTAGCAGGTAAAGCTTTTTAGACATTACTAAGATGTATAACCAACATAATATTTTATTACAACTTATTTTCACTAAATTAAAACTAAAAAAATTTCATCTGTTCTACTTGCACATATATTTCTAACATATGTTAGTTTGTCAATTAAAAAAAGAGATGTATGATCAGAAATAGCTATAGAAATTTTAGTTTTATTAGCCAAAGAATTTATTTACCTGAAGATCATTTTGAGGGTTCCAATCAGAATCAAATATTATACATGTATCTGCTGCAGTTAAGTTGATGCCCAACCCACCAGCTCGGGTACACAGAAGAAAAACAAATCGATCTGAATCAGGTTTACTAAATCTATCTATAGCAGCTTGCCGAAGATTCCCTCTGACTCTTCCATCAATTCGCTCATATAAATATCTATCAAATGAAATGCAATAAATTTACATAATGACAATGAAGCAAAAGTCAAGTCAATTCTCCTGTAACATTATGATTTTTGTAGAATTAAGAAACAATATTACCAACTAGTTTCTACGATTTTACTAGTTTTTGTTTTCTGGAGTTGACATGAAAGAGTAAATACAAGGTAAAATGAAGAACAACATTTTTGCATTCTTGGACGTATAAAATACAATTACAATGAATACAGTTTCATAAATTAAAAAATTTTCCACCAGGTAGTCCAGAAAACCACTCCCCTGATCGCTTAATAACATTTTTCACAAGAAGTAGAGATTTCCACAAAACTTCATACAGCGGCCTACAAAGGTTTCTCTGTCTCAGTCATGTTACTCTCTCAACTCACAAACTTGCTAGTCAACTGTAATCTATCAAGCATTAGAATGCTGACTCTTTCGTCAGAACTACTAAGCAATCAATTTTTAACTTCTTTCATTCTTCCTCATTAGAAACTCAGAAACTGCTGGGCATCCATAAAATTACACAAATATTAGGACGGAAGCAGATTACAGGTGACATTCGTCACACCACTTCGGTTCGGGAACCTTCTCTGCACAGTTTGCTGGTGTCCCGCAGCAGTGCCCTGTAAACGCCAGCATCTGGGGAGGGGCGTGGCTTCCAATTGTGCCAAAAAGAAACTTGGGGATTTCCATGAAATCGATCAAATGGAAGTTATCTTTATCCTATAAAATTCTCCCTGTAGGAGGTCTGAAAAAATGCAAGAACGGCTATTTTTAGGAAATCTGCCGTTCACTCTTCCCTCTACTAACAGGCTATTAAATTGAGAATACAACAATTTTGAGATAAGGGCAAAAGAGCAGAACAGTGACACTTCAGATGGAACTAGAAATAAAGGTGAAAAATGAAAATGAACCGCATAATTTCTGATAATATAAACTAACAGAGACCTTTACTGATGTGTGAAGGGTCAAAATCCACTGAACTAATTAACACCTCTGGTTAAAACTTCAAAATTCCCTTTTACATCAGAATCTTGTGCTGATAAAACATCTAAAGACTGATTAGACAACATTTAAGTTTATCACTGCATGCACACACACACAAAAATTAAAAACCCATGTTAAATAATGTGAAAAGATTAAAGCATGAATAAATGTTAAATAATGTATGGCCAGTGCAAATTCATTTCTAATCACAGCAAAGAAATCTTAAGATAAAAGGGTTTTGATTCCCAGTTTCCCCCCCTGAAGCTGGCTGGGAATAAGTCCATCTCAGTCACTACAATCACAAGATTTACACATCAACTTGAGTTGTACACTAATGTACGAATGTACACTAATAAGCACATTCTTAAGTCAACAAACAGAGCAATTTGCAAAGTCTTCTGTCTCCTCGGCCTGCCTACATACAGGCAGGAAAGCACCTGGCACATGAAGCAAAGCTAATCTTCGCCTGGAGACCCCGGGAGACCCCTATCTAAACGGAGAGAAAGCCTGAGTACAGCGGGGCCACAGCACTGCAGACTCTGGCCGCGCGCACTTCGCGCAGATCCTGGGGATGCCGTGGGGAGCGGGGCGTCTTACCTCTTGTGGATGAGATAGTCTTCCAGGATGTCAAGGCAGCGCACCATCTGCGAGAAGATGAGCACTTTGTGGCCTCCGGCCTTCATCTTGGGAAGCAATTTATCAATAAGGACCAATTTACCCGCAGACTGGATCATTGCTTGAAGGTGAAAGTCAGAAGCAGCTGGATTATATGTGTCTCTAAATTCCCCAAGTATTTTCTCCTCAGCTCCTAGGAAAGCAGTGTGAGAAGACAGTGTCACTGCACAAGACAGTTGTTTCCTTTGTAAAAATGATCCGAGTTAGCTACAACAGCACATTAACTTTTTCTGATGGCAGCTACAAATGCCCACCCACAGTAGACTGTGATGCCACCGAGGATATGAACAATGTCTTAAGCGCCTTTCACCTCCCCGGCACCTGACATAAACCTTGCATGAACTTATGTTTGCTAAGTGTTTAATGCATGCTCTGCAGAAGAGACACATAAAACGGAGCGTGAACACATATTTTTCAGCAAACATCTAGTATGTAGAGATCAACCTAACGGTCATCATCACGGAAAGGTGACCATAATCAATCTGGGTGCTGTCTGCGGGCATTCTATGGCTCGAAACAACACGGGTAGGAAAAGGGAAGAGAAGTCACACGACTGGTCCTGGCCCCACATGGCCTCGAGTCTAGGTCAGCGCAGAAGAGGCTCTGGGCCTGCTCTCAGCCTGACCAGCCACAGCTGGAGCTACAAGTGAGCTAGTTGTTAAGCTGAGAAGCTCCTTGGCTTGAGTAGAGAGTGGAGAGTATGTTCCAGGAATAAGTGAAAGACTCAGAGGCTGCAGACAGGGGAGGCAGAACCAAGAAGAGGCTTAAAAATAACATCGCTGCCAAAACAACCACAAAAAACCATCGCTGCGGCACAAAAAGTGGGAGGCATTAATTGGCTTATCTGGACCAGACAGAAATCCGGGAAATCCGGGAATCTGAGCCCAAAGGTGTGCTCTGCCGCGCCCAAGCGTGAGGAACTCTGGTCCTCTGCACAGCGGCCTCTGCAGGCCGGGCCAGCACTGACTGCCACACGCCGCCGGCTCGGGACACGAGGGCGGAGCAGCACAGGCCGCTGTCCTCACGGCTCATCCGGGCGGCCCGCCCCCTGGCCTGCGTGTCTGCGCGCACCGCCCCCTGGCCTGCGTGTCTGCGCGCGCCCCGTGCAGCTACCTTTGATGAGGTACGGGTGATTGCAGCACTTCCTGAGTTCCATCATGGTATTGACGAGGTTGGGAACGTTGGTCTGCCCTGCTCCTTTAGACAGAAATGAAAAGTTCTTCTCCAAGATCGCTCGGTAGTACTTCTTCTGGATGTTAGTAAGCTCGACCTCGATGATGGTTTCTTCCTTTGGTGCCAGCTTCTTTTCCACATCTTCTTTCAGGCGTCTCAACATCATGGGTTTCAGGATAGCCTGAAGTTTCTGCACCTGCATAAGAAATGCACCACACGCATTCAGTCGCACTCATGCCCATTACTGCACCAGGAGGCTTGATGTTGGTTTACAAAGACCAGTAACATACCTGTTCTTCTGTTTTTAGATCCCCAAATTCTTGCATAAATGTTGACTCAGAGGGAAACCGTGAGGGTTCTAGAAAGTGGAGCAGACTGAAGAGTTCTTCAACTGTGTTTTGGAGAGGTGTGCCAGTCAAAAGTACCTTGTGCTCCTATATGAGGCAAAAAGACGAACTTCAAACACCGCGCCACTAACGTTATGTTAAAGTTGATGTAGGCGATCAAATGTTTAGGACTTAAAAGATCATGCTGAGTGAGATAAGCCAGAAAGAGAAAGAAAAATACCGGATGGTTTCACTCATAGCAGGAGTATAATGGACCAGGCGAGAAAATGAC